CATTACAACATATATATGTGTCCCAGTGAGAAGGCTAACCCCTATTTTGTAAAACTACTGTTTGGAATTCTCTGCTATTCTTTAGATGGCCTCTTATTCTAAAAATATATATATATATATATAATAACGTTGCTTTCTAGCCTGCTTTAGCTTGCTTGAATAATGAGGAAGATAAACTTAACTGTCTGACCTTGTGGGCCCAATACTCTCAATACTCTCAATGCCACGCCAGGTGCATTTTTTAATTGGGTAGAACTGTGTAGTGTTCAAGGCCACCAGCGAGATAACCACTAAGCACACATAGGGCTGGCTCTTTCATAGAAAGGGAGGTTCTGCTTGTAGCTCTGCTTAGAATTTGAATTCATTTTCTCTAAGCCCACCGCGGTGAATAAAGTGTGACTCCAAACTCTCTGAGTATTGCTTGATTTATTCTGGTTCTCTGTAACACCAGGTCATAATATAAGGTGTATTCCTTTGAGAACTGTTCTAGGAAATCCACAATAGTTACTGGAAGAGAAGGGGGAAAGGAGTCAGGTAATCCCTTCTGTTTTACATAACAATAGGCCAGGTTTTGAGATCTAGTGATCTCACCCCCTCAATTAACTTACCAATTGATATTACTGGTATTCCAAATCAATCCAGGAGTTTTTGGCTACCCGTTTGGCATTTGAAAGCCAGACTCATTTCATTTCTATTCTCATTCACCTCCCGGCAAGCAGCCTCTTTCACTCACTTCTGGTCGGCCTGTATAGAATGAAGTGAACAGGTAAAAAACAAAAATCACATCACTCTTGTTTCTGTAAGTGGATAGATATGGACACATAAAAATAATCTCCAGGGATAAGAGAAGGAATAATCTCAGGGGATTAGAGAACATCTTAACCCAAGCTCCGTCGTCTTTACAACTGAGAAAAAGTTACTGCCATTGCCATTAAGTGGTTTACTTGAGCTCACGCTGCAATTGAGTGATCGATTCAGAGCAAGAAACTTAAGTCTTCATATTTTCAGACAAGGGTTCTCTCTGGTATCTCTAGGCCCCCCGATAGAGAGGTGTGTGAATAGTACTGAGGTGTGGATATGTTTTCATTAACTTTTACTCAACAGTCTGCACCCTGGATTGTCTGGAACACAGCAGACAGATAGTGTGTGCCGCTGGTATGTATCTTCATTCTATCTCAATTTACTTGGAGTCAAAGCCTTTCGAAGAAAGAGGCTGAGTCCAATTTGACATCAGTCATCATACAGCAGCTGCCTCAGTGGGGCTGTAAGATGGCGACTCCCAGGGGTGTTCTGGGCAGTGAGTTTCCATCTCTGTAGCACCTGATGGAGAGTGTATCTGCAGTTTATTAAAATACCCATAGTTATAAAAAGTGGTTGAAACTTAGGAGTTTTATGTCAGTTATACCTCAATAAGACTGAAATAGAAGAAGGAGGAGAAGGCAGAATAAGGGAAAAAGAAGGAGGAGGTATTTTCTTGTCCTGGATTCCAAGACAAAATTTTATAAGGTGAAAGGCCTAGTGGAAGTTGGGAAAAGGTTCTATCTTTTTTATGGTGAGAACATTTAAGTTCCACTCTTTTAGAAAATTTCATTTATAAAATACAAAGTTATCAACTATAAGTCACCACGTTTTACTTTACAACCTCAGACCTTATTATCTTGTAGCTGAAAATTTGTACCCTTTTAGTAACCTCTATTTTCCCCACTCCCCATCCCCTGGCAACCACTTTTCTGTTCTATTTTTACGAGTTTGACTTCTTAAACTCTTTTTTTTAAAGATTTCACATGTAAAAAAAAAAAAAGGAAAGAAAAGAAAAAAATTTCACATGTGAGACTGCACAGTATTTGTCTTCCTCTGGCTGGCTTATTTCACTTAGCAAAATGCCCTTATGTATCAGTCATGTTGTTGCAAATGGTAGGAATTCCTTCTCTCTTATGGCTGAATAATATTCCATTACATGTATATGAAGCAAGAATTTTAGGGAAATATAGGCAGGCTTAGGGATTTTTTTTAGAATTGGGGTCCATGGAAAAAACACAGGGAGAAGGTACATTTCCATAACACAAGGAAGCCAGGTGCAGATACATCTCCATAAGACAAGGGAGGGGCAACAGGTATATTTCCATAAGACAAGGAAACTGGAAGTAGCCATGAAAGGTCTATATTGACAAAATGGGGAGAGGGAAGCCCTTCATTCAGACAGAAAGAAGAAAGCCCAGAGGGAATAGGGGAACAGTGGAGAAGGAGCGGGGAGAACCTAACATGTCCCATGTGAAGTTCAACCTTTGAGCTCAGGAGTTAATATAGTAACCAACTGGAAGGGGAATGTTGACCAATCAGAGGGGATGTCAGGCACCAGGATCTGCAGCCTTTATAAAGCCATAGGGAAAGGAACCCAGTGGGACCCTCTTCCCCCTCCCTACATGGGAGTCCGTTCTGTGGGACTCTAACCTGTCCCCACGTGGGAGTCTGTACTTGTTCTTCAATAAATCTCTACCTTTGCTATACCACTTTCTGTCCGTGGATTCATTCTTTGATTCCAGTGGACAAAGAACCCGGGTTCCAGTCCAAAAATTCTGTATCATATATGCTACATCTTCTTTCATCCATTTGAAACCAGACAACCAATGGGTCCCAGTTGCCTGTCACTACTTGAGCTAATTAAGCAGAGACAGGGTTGAATCATATGTGAATGTTTATTCCAATAATGCTGGCAGTATGGGAGAGCAGCAGGTCATCCACAAAGATCTGCTCTACCCCCACCATAAGCCAGCTGCTTATAATGCACAGGACAAAGATTACATGGGAAAGTAGGAATTACAGCCTTGGGGAAGTAGGCAAGGCATAATGGTTACAGGTTACAGGCAATGTGGGCTGTGGGTCGCAATGATGGAGTGCCTCTGGTAACAGATTCCTTCAGCAACAAAGCTGTTCATCTTTCCGTGATGATGGGCAGTTCTCGGAAAAGGAGAATGGACTGACTGCATTCCGAGGGTAACTCCTATGCCCCGGGGAGTACAGCTCTCAGCTAGGATAGAATGTGCTTTCTCCAATCAGAACAATCTTGGTTAACAGAGCATGATGAATATTTCTTATAATTATAGCTAGTACCCATTATTCTCTTTCTGTCCCTAACACATTCATCTGTCGATGGACACAGGTTGTTTCCATATCTTGCCTATTGTGAACAATGCTGCAATGAAAATGGGGTGAAGATATCTTTTCTAGTTAGTGTTTTTGTTTTCTTCAGACAAATACCCAGAAGTAGGATTGCTGGATCAAGTCATGGTTTTATTTGTAATTTTTTGAGGAACCTCTATTTTTGTTTTCCATGGTGGCTGCACCAATATACATTCCTATCAACAGTGCACAGGGTTCTCTTGTCTCCACATCCTCGCCAGCACTTATCTCTTGTTTTCTTGATGATTGCCATCTTAACCAGTGGGAGGTGATATCTCATTGTGGTTTGGATTTGCTTTTCCCTGATGATTAGTGATGTTGGGCACCTTTTCATGGGCCTGTTGCCTATTTGTACGTCTGCTATTCAGACCCTCTGTTTATTTTTAAATGGGACTAACTTAAACATAATATATTATTAGTCATATAAATTAATTCATTTCAGTGAGCAATACACATCATTTCCAACACTCCTTTCCTTGGGCCCAAATCAAAGCTTTTGTAAATTTCTCCTCACAACGAATGTTTTGTGCAACGCAACCGGACAGAGTCCAGATTTCAATTCTTATGGCCAATCCATTGTAAAGGTGGCAGGTGGCCCCTGTCAAAATCCAGAAACTGCTAAAAAATAAAACCAAATCAATATAATTGTCTTTAGTAAGAGTTTATTGTGTGTAGATGGACAGTTCACAAAGAGAATTGTCAAACCAATAGTGTTACGGAGCCCAGAGCTATGTTGTTATAGGATGGCTTATATAATAAAAACACTGAGGCTAGTCAATCTTTATAGTTACTTATAGCATTTGGTTTTCCCCCCAAATGACAGGGGATTCATTAAAAGTGGTCATCTTGCCGAAACCGGTTTGGCTCAGTGGATAGAGCGTCGGCCTGCAGACTGAAAGGTTCCAGGTTCAATTCCGGTTAAGGGCATGTACCTGGGTTGCAGGCACATCCCCAGTAGGAGATGTGCAGGAGGCAGCTGATTGATGTTTCTCTCTCATCGATGTTTCTGACTCTCTGTCTCTCTCCCTTCCTAAAAAAAATCAGCTGCCTCCTGCACATCCCCCACTGGGAATTAAGCCCGCAACCCAGACATGTGCCCTTGACCAGAATCGAACTGGAGATGCTTCAGTCCCCAGGCCGACGCTCTAGCCACTGAGCCAAACCAGTTAGGGCAATTTAGGTTTTTTAAGTGACTTTCAGAGGCATTTATAAGAAACAACCCTAGTTAGGTTTTGCTTACACTGCAGAATAAGCTACATTAGATTTCACTTACATGGCTTAGCTGGTTCTGCTGTTCAGGGAATTTTCAAGTTTGGTCTCTATTTGTATTTTGTTTTAACTCCTATATTCTTGTTCATTCAAGAAATTATCATAAGCTCTT